AGGGGTGTTATCAGGACCTAGGTGCTAACGCGCTTAGAGCACGCAGATCTTCTTAGATGAACGTTTCTATTAAACGGATGGGCTCAGCTTCAGAAAATTCCTTGACTTTGCCCCCAAATATATGATACACAGCAAGCTTGGCTTTTGTGTTTCTGACTCTGGTTTAGAGGAGCGTGCAGCGATTGTGCAATAGGTGGTTCCATCTAGCTCTTGGTTATTGATATAAAAACATAACTAATATTTCTGCAATGTAGTTTTCTCGACCTCTCTCTGGCCTCTGTTGTATGATGTTTTCAAAACAGCTTAATCAGAACTCTCCATATTTCTGGGGTTTTAGCCTAACAGTTCTAGGGACCGAGGGAGGTCACTGAAGGGTGACAGCCTATAGGCGCTGGACCAGCAGGGAGAGGGGCGGGGCTGGGGGCGGCAGCGTGGAGGCGGGCAGGGAAGCTCCCAGCGGATGGCTCGCCCGTAGGCGGGCATGCAGCCACCTGTGTAACCACGATGGGCTCCGCGGAGCCACTCAGGTCAATGCCCACGCTGTGCCGGTGGGCATGGATGCTATGGTTACCACACTACAGCGAGAGGGGATGCAGTAAGGGTCAGTGACATGGCATTTAAACCAAACTTTCAAGAATAGGTACAATTTGGACAGGTGGTCGTGAGGAAGAAAGACTTCCTAACCAAATGGACAGCTGGGCACAGAGCTAGGAACAAGGATGAAGGTGATCGCCAGAGAGAGTTTGGGCCTAAAGTGGTAGCAAAAAGAATGAAATTGGGTCATTTGTAGAGACGTGGATGGACCTAGAGTCCGTCATACACAGTGAACTAAGTGAGAAAGAGAAAAACAAATACCGTAAATTAACGCATTTATGTGGAATCTAGAAAAATGGTAGAGATTTACAGGGCAGGAACAGAGACGCAGATGTAGAGAAGGGACGTATGGACACAGGGTTGGGGGGAAGGGGTGGGTGGGATGAATCGGGAGATTAGGTTTGACTTATACACACTACCATGTGTAAAACAGATAGCTAGTGGGAACCTGCTGTACAGCACAGGGAGCTCAGCTCTGTGCTCTGTGATGACCCAGATGGGTGGGATGGGGGACGGGAGGGAGGTATAAGAAGGAGGGGATGTATGCATCCGTACAGCTGATTCACTTCGCTGTACAGCAGAAACTAACATAACAGTGTAAAGCAACTATATCACAATAAAAAAAAAAAAAGGGAGACACCCAACTGGAGGCGCTGTGAAAGAGGAGGCTGGCAGAGGCAACTTGGAGGGAGTGGCTTGGAGTTGGGAAGGCCGGCCACGCCAGGACAGATGGTGGGACCTGGAGTATGGTGGGGACATTGGGAAAAGGATGAAGAGATACTTTGAAGACCATTACGAATGTGATGCAACTTGTTTTTTGAGCTGACCTCTAGGATGAAGTTGTGAGTTGTATCACAACACGATGGGGGCCAAGTTGTTGGTGAGATTCCCTCCTCCACCCGCCTCTCATCCGTTTGACAAGTATTTATTAAGGGCTCCCCTTGGGCACTGGTCAGTGACTGTCATTTACTCAAAGGCGGGAGCTGCTCTCCTTTATTTCCTGTCTTGCAGGTTAGACGGGGTCGGGTTCACTGACAACAGCACATATATTTCGTATGTCCAGTGTTCAGTAGCATCTCACTCTCTGTTTGGAAATGTGAGTGACTCACAGTACTTGACAATTTTAATGTATCAAATGTTTAAATAACATCTTCACAAAAATTAAAATACAATCACAGAAACTTAACAGACAACCGTTTTCATTTTTCCAGTCATTTTCATTCTCCATAGCATCTTGGTATTTTGATAATATTTCAAGTTAAAAAGATTCAAGGACATAGATCAAATCCAAAAAGGGACCATAGAGTGAAAATACTATGGTCCCCGAAAGTCAGTCTTTTTAACTTCATAAAGTTTTAACCGAGTGCCTGAGCTCTGGCTAACGATGAAAGAGGTAAGGAGCAAGCTGCCTAGTGTCTCCCGTGGAGCAGAGAGCTCCAGGGACTTCTACTGAACTCCCCCAGGGAGCCTGGACAACCATCTACAGATCTCAAAGTGGTGACATCCACAAGCCAAGAGCCAGGAGCCCATTTGACAAATGTCAGGGCAGCTGACATGAAGAGAAAAACAGAAGGAAGAAAAACACATTCCGCATCTGGGAGTGTGTACAAGTTGAGCGCAGATTGTTTAGAGGAACAGAGAGAGAGGAATTCCCTTTACTTCTCAATCAGTAAATCATTGCCACATACTTTTAAAAAACTTATTTATTTATTTATTTATTTATGTTGGCTGAATCGGGTCTTAGTTGCGGCATGTGGACTTCTTAGTTGCAGCATGCAGACTCTTAGTTGCGGCATGCATGGGGGATCTAGTTCCCCGACCAGGGATCAAACCCGGGCCCCCTGCACTGGGAGCGTGGAGTCTTACCCACGGACTGCCAGGGAAGTCCCCATTGCCACATACTTTTGTCTCTCCTCTCCATCAGCCATTTTTTATCTCCTTCATCCTCTCTCTAACTACATCTATACATTCTCAGTAAGCCAAAGATTTTATATGAAGCCATTTCCACATTGTCTGAGTTCAGGCCGCTAGAAGGATACAAACAACAAATACTTATTTCTCATCGTTCTGGAAGCTGGGAAGTCCAAGATCTAGGTGCCAGCAGATCTGGTGTCTGCCTGCTTCCTGGTTTGCAGATGGCCTCATGGTGTCCTCACACGGTGGGGAACAGTGAGAGAAGCAAGCTCTCTTGTATCCTCTTATCAGGGTACTATCCCATCACGAGGGCTCCACCCTCAGGACCTAATCAGCCCCCAAAGACCCCACCTCCAAATACCATTCCATTGGGAATTAGGGCTTCAACATGTGAATTTGACCTACAGTCCATAACACACATGTACAATGCCAAAAATGTTGGCATTGTTCTTCCCAGGACACAAAAGTCTATCTGAGGGGGACTTCCCTGGTGGTCCAGTGGTTAAGAACCCGCCTCCCAATGCGGGGGACGTGGGTTTGATCTCTGGTCGGGGAACTAAGATCCCACATACTAAGGGGCAACTAAGTCCGCGTGCCGCAACTACTGAGCCCGTGTGCTCTGGAGCCCGCACGCCGCAACTAGAGAGAAGCCCTCGCGTCACAACTAAGACCTGACGTAGCCAAAAATAAATATTAAAATAAAAAGGTCTACCTGAGATCAAATTATAAAGGAGACAAACTGTCTCTTTTGTGCCTACCTACCTTCTCTTCGGTGTGGGTGGTCATGGGGACTTCATTTGGGCTAGGTCTTAAGGATGGAATTTCTATAGTTGGCGACAGTGGGGTGGGAATTTCAGGTGAAGGGGAAAAAGTGAACAATTGCTTCTGGACTTATTTATATTCTTACGAAGGACTAAAAATTGCAGAGGCTTTTCTAAATGGAAAATTTTGGACAGGGAGGGTCTTGTTGTTTTCAAGAGGTCTTTCAGCATTTTTCACAGAGCAGTTAAGCCGGTTGTCTTTGCTATGTAAAGTATGGTGTTGACAGGGAAGGACCCAGTTTTGAGCCTCACGTGGATTATGCAGCCTTACCCAGAGAAGGTGATTCTGCTCCTGTTGGCACAGGGAGTGCCTCACACCTGCCCGGACGTGGTGACAGACTGTGGTTGTGTCAGTGAAAACTCTCCCTACAATGGCAAAAATAACCCAAACCTTCAAAATATTCAAAGCACATTTCCTGCCCGTAGTAGATTTGTAAAATCATCTCCTTGTCTTTTCTTTCTTGCTGCATCTCTTTTTTGTCTTGGTCAAGAACACTGCCCTCCAATCATACAGGGAAGTCGGTCTTCTAAATACACCAGGCCAACTCTCTTCCATCTCCTGTTCTTTCTGGGTATGGGAGTGAAGAACAGAGAACAGTCCTCTTTCAGGGCAGCATCTGGAATAACCAGTACCAGATGCAGGAATGAATCATCCTCCTCAGGGAGCCTGCCTGCATCCAAGCTGAAAGCGTCAGTAAGGAAGGCTGGCTTTATCTACCAGCCGACTGCCTGCTATGTCACCAACAGATTCCCTTCCCAAAACTGTCATGTTTGCCACAGTGCCTGGAATTTCACCATGAGCTTCAATAACCGGCTTGTAAAATGTCATAGCTGGTCACTCGGCTCTTAGAAGCAGGGCTAGAATGCGTGCCCTGTGGTTTCCCATGAGCTGGCAGTGTCTTCATGGGGGGAGTGGGCTCACAAATGGTTTGTTTGGGACAACAAATTCATTCAACAGACATTTGTACTAACTGGCTGAGGGAGGGCCTTTTGCACGTGTCACCCACCCCTCTCATTTGACATGCTACCCTTGAAGGCTGGTATAGTTGTCTCTGTATCAAAAATGAAGGGATCGGGCTTCCCTGGTGGCGCCGTGGTTGGGAGTCCACCTGCCGATGCAGGGACACACGTTCGTGCCCCGGTCCGGGAGGATCCCACATGCTGCGGAGCGGCTGGGCCCGTAAGCCATGGCCGCTGAGCCTGCGCGTCCGGAGCCTGTGCTCCGCAACGGGAGAGGCCACGACAGTGAGAGGCCCGCGTACCGCAGAAAAAAAAAAAAAAGTGAAGGGATTGAGGCTTCAACAAGTTTTGAGCACCTCTGTGGTGGCCAGGTGCCTGACCACGGCACCCCACTTCAGGTGCACCCGACTTCATTGCCTCTGGACTTTTCCCCAAAGCCACTGAATCTTGGCAGCCCCCGGGTCTCCCAGAGGTGCCTGTAGGGCAGCCTCCAACCCTGGGGATGGCCTTGCTGTTTGCGTCTCTGTCAATAGGTTTAAGAAAGGTGCTGACCTGGGGAGAGGAGTTCCAGGCCAGCAACTGTTAGCTGAGACGTCAGACGTATAATGGAAATGTTCGTGATCGTCTCGGGTATTCCGTTATTATACTGAAAAAATGAGTGACGTCTTTTACTAATGAGTAATTTGGAAGCTTTAATAAACTGTAGTCATAAACCCAGTTTATTATTAATAATCCAGTAATTAACCTTAGACACATTAATCTAATGTTAGAGATTTAACAAAAGGCAAAGGAACCTCTGTTTTGTGACTCTCCGTTCCATCACATGAGGGGCGATGGGGGATGATCTCAGGTGAATTTTTTTCCTTTGATGGCTCAGTATCTTTATCTGTAAAGATGGGATAATAATGTAAACTATGCAACATTCGTTCATTTCTTCATTCATAATTCATTCAGCAAATAGTCACTGAACCCTTAACTCTGAATCAGGCACATGCTTGTTCCCAAGAGTAAACAAGACAGATAAGGATCTCCCTACTGTGGAGTTTACATTCTGGTGGGGACTCAAGAACTCTTTTGAGAAAAACAGCTGAAATGACACTGGCCAAGAAAGAGCTCCACAGTTCAAGACACCGAGACAGTTTAAACCTTAGTTAAAGCACTCTTTGCTATGTCTCCCTAGTTCTTAAGAAAAGCCTTCTAGGAACAAACACCAAATGCCTCAATAAAATGTTGATGAATAAAGGAATGCTCTTTGGAACAGTGCAAGGTTTTAAAGCATTTCAGAGGGTCAGTGACCACATGCTTGTTCTCTTCATTTTGTGAAGAGCCCACTGGCTAAACCAAATCCACAAAGGACAAGGCAGCCTGCCTCTATCCAAACTCTTGCCTAAGAAGATGCTTAGCGCTCGAATCATCCCACTATTTCATCTTACTACATATTTGGAGTTGGGCTATCTTTATTTCTTCTCTGGAGTGAATATCTTACCTATCTATCTATCTGCCCATTTATCTCCTAATTTCAGCAAAGTCATCTGTCAGAGCCATTTAATTCTCCTGAGTGTCTTCTTTTAATTGGGAAGAAATTTTCTTTTAGTTACCCCTTATCACCAAGATAATGGATTTTACATACTTTGGCTGACGTCCCTGATTTACTTCATACTATATTTATATTATGGCTTCTCTAGTAATAAATTATATTTGATCTGAAACACTTAATCAGGTTGTGCTTTTCTGCAATCAACATTTATTGTTGCAATTGCTGTGAAAACCACATGCAACCAAGTTTCTAACAGCACAGAACCCTTTCTATGTGGCTTTCAAAGCAACCTTAAAGATGATAATTAAACTTCAAGAATACATCTTTAAACATCACCCACCTTATTAAACAAGTCTTAGAGGTGAGAAAGTAGGATTCAGGTTGGTGTATTGAGCCTATATAAAATACTTATCTAGAGATAGAATAGTAGCAAAGAACTCAACCTCCTAGCCTCATAAATAGGCCTTCAAATACCGTGCAATCCAGGCTATTACTTCGTGGCTTTTCCCACTGCTTTTCAATATGGTATGCCGATAACACTGTTGAGAGCAATATGCTTTATTGCAGAGCTTGTCACATTCATGGCATTCTAAAAATATTTTCTAAGGAATTCTGCGCCAGAAGATAAGGCCATCTCACATTTAAAACAGAACCCTGCAAGTGATTTCTATGACTGTGTTCAGAATTATCCAAGTGCTTTATTGTTATTATTTGAGGCAACACTGGTTTATAACACTATACAAGTTTCAGAATTAGCCAAGTGTTACTTCAGAGGCAATGACCCTAAGTAACAGCTGAAATGCAGTTTTTTCTTTTAAATGTGGACATTTAATTCTCACCTGAGACCTGTTACAGTCAAATCGGCCAGAAAGTAAAGCAGATGAGGGCTCTGTATAATTTTAATCGTTGTGCTCTGGGGCACACTTCAAAATGGCCCGGCTGACCTGCCTACGAAAACTTTCTGCCGCTCTTCAGTTGGTTTGCAAACATCAAGCCGCCTAGAGTTCTCGTGATTTTCGTGAGCTTCCAAGAGAAAGCAAAGGCCCCGCGGCCGGCTCGGGGAATACGTCTTCACCTGCAAAAGCAAAACGAAGTGCAGGTGCACCAGCCCGCCGGCCCCAGATGCCTGCCGGCAGTTCCACATTCCCTTTTAGGGAAAGGTACTGTGAGCTACCCGGCACTTCATTTTACTCCTCTCTTTAGGAGGCACGGAAACTGATTTTCTTTCGCCACTCCCGACACCAGTCCAGTCTCGCCAGCTCGTACCTTCGGCGCCCTCGCTGCCCTGAACCCGCGACCCCCTTCCATCAGCTCACCGCGCCAGGACCCTGGCCCAGGTTTGGGACAGCTCAAAGAAAGCGAAAAAGATGGCTCGGCAGGGAAAGGGAATACAATAGGCATAAGGCGGCCGGTGGCTCGGACCAGAAATGCCGCACTTCGTAAGGAGGAAAAAGTTTCCTTTGTCAAACAAGTGACCACGTGGCGCTATGGCGGTCACCCCCAACAGTCCCGTCAGGCTGCCAGGCGCGGACCTGGGGACGCGCCAGCCACCTCCGGCGCTGGCCGAGGGGAGCCCCGAAAAGCGGGGGCCCCGCTGTAAGCCCTGAGAGAGCGGATCCGGAGGACGCAAGGAGGCGCGAGACGGTGGCTCTGGGAGCTGCGCTGAGGGCGGGGCTCCCGGGGGGAGAGGGGCGAGGAGCGCAAGGTTCCCGGAAGCAGCGGGGCACAGGGGGCGGGACCCTCGGGGGCGGTGGCGCGGAGGGCGGGGTCCCCGGCGTTGGGCGGGCGCGGGGGGCGCGGCTTCAGGGACTGGGCGGGAGGCGGGGTCGCTGGGGCCCTGGGCGCCGGGCTCCGGGCCGCGGAAGGGCGCCGTTCGCGGGGCGGGGCGGGGCGGGGCGGGGAGCGGCGGGCAGGCCGGGCATGGCGTCCATGGCGGCGGCGATCGCGGCCTCGCGCTCGGCCGTCATGAGCGGGAACCGGCCTCTGGACGACAGGGAGCGGAAGCGCTTCACCTACTTCTCGTCGCTGAGCCCCATGGCCAGGAAGATCATGCAGGACAAGGAAAAGATCCGGGAGAAGTACGGGCCCGAGTGGGCGCGGCTGCCGCCCGCGCAGCAGGACGAGATCATCGACCGGTGCCTGGTGGCGCCGAGCGCCCCGGCGCCCCGCGACTCCGGGGACCCCGAGGAGCTGGCGCGCTTCCCCGGCCTGCGCGGGCCCACGGGCCAGAAGGTGGTGCGCTTCGGGGACGAGGTAGGTGCGGAGCGGGCCGGGCTCCCCGCTCCCCGAGGCGCCCCCGGCCGGGCGGACCCCTGCCCGCTAGCAGCCGCCCCCGCCAGGCGCGCGGGCAGGGGCTGGAGAGGAGAAGGCGCAGGAACCGGGGTGGGTGGGACGGGCGGCCCGGAGCCGGAGGTGTGGGGCTGGGGGGCTCCCCGGGGCAGTTCGTGGAGGACCGCCGAGAGAAGGAAGGAGGTCATTCCAGACCCTCCATCTGGAGCTGCCCCGCCGGGCCACAGGGGACCCGAGACTTGTCAGACCAAAGTGCCAACAACAAGGGATTTTAAGCCAGGCAGGCCTGGGTTCTGATCCATTCTGCCATTTAGCTCTCTGGCCGTGGGTGACCTAACCTTTTGGAGTCTCAGTTCCCCCCGGGAATAATAATATCCACCCCTGGCCTGCCAGGGAAGGCAGTCAGCCTTTTATACGTAATAATATTACTATTTGTGATGAGCTGTGTGCGGAGAGTGAAATTGTCCAGCAAGGTAACAAGAAGCAAGAGGTGCCTTCCAAGATTAGGAGGCAAAAGCCGAAGCCCTAAGATGTTTCCGAGTGAGCCCGATGAGCTGCTTAGTTTTGGGAATAAGTACGGTGGCCTCCTGTTTCCAGTGAAAAACGAGGGATACGTGCAAATGAGCTGTCGCAAGCCTTTGGTGCATATAAGGGCATGCCTGGGCCTCTGACCTAGACACTCTGCTGGGCCTTCTAGAGGGCCGGACATTGTGGAGGAAGAAACACTGAAACTAGAAAAAACTCAGGGGTGACCCATACTAAGTCACAAAGACCGGAGTGCTCTGTGCTTCTCCGAAAGCCGGCCTTTTCCTGGAAATGTGTTCAACTAAAACCTGTTTGGTGCCAAATCTGCGGCTCTTTGGCCTTTCAGACTCAACTTTTGTGGTGAGGGTCAAAGAAGTCCAAAGGAGCCTGCAGCATACAGGGAAATCCGCAGCCCTGAGAGCTCTGAGCCTGCAGGCAGGAGGGGCTGGGCTTGGAGAGGTTTTCCAAGGAAGTCGTAGACTGTGGAAGGAATTCTAGTTGAGGATGAGGTTTTAATCTGATTTTCAGGCGTGGCTGTGCTGAGACATTTATTAATACAAAATGTTTGTGGTCATAAACCCGCTTTCACGTGGGGGAAGTGTGAGAGAGCAAAACTTTGCTTCCAACATTGCCTTATACTGACAGAATTAAAAGAAGAGTCTTCCATGGATTTTAAACTCTGAAGGCTTCGCCAGGAAAAAAACGAGGGTGTGGTAACGGAAGAGATGAGAATATAGGTTTAAAATGTAAGCCCAGAGCTGAAGCATTTTTAGTGTGAGCATATGCATCTCTCTAAAGACATTCGCAGGGTTGGGGCTCAGATTTGGGTGATGGAAAAGCAGGCAGCCCCTCTTTGGAAAAGTCACGAAGAAATAAACTGTGAGAAGAAATAAACCTGCAGGTACTTACAGATGTTGCAGGGTCCCTGTCATTTTCCCTTAGCTTGCTGTCCGGCCAAGAATATCCACGTGCCCGTTCACCATCCAAAAGCCCGTGCCATATAAGGGTCCAGTGTGGCTGATAAGGAAAGATGTGGCCAAGTGAATTTTGTGCTCCGATTCCTTAACTGGGTGCCGGACTGAGCTGTTTGCGAATTTGTAAACGCAAAGCGATTTAACGGCCAACAGAACTTTTTGCTGTGGGACCTACATGTCCTTTCAGGAGCACGGGAGCCCTGATTTTCAGAATTGAACTCAGCTTTGCAAAACGGGTTGCGAGTATGTCCTGGAATGCCTCCGACCAACCTCTCAGCACGGATGGCGGAGGGACAGTGAGTTTGAGGACAGGTACGGAGGTACCTTGCTCAGAGCTTTTTTTGTTGTTGTTGTCTCCCCCTGCCCTCCTGCAGCGGCTGAGCGATTTCATCCCACTAGGGAGTTTAAAATGTGTTACCTGGACTTGGCAAGAGGTTGGCGCCAAAGTGGAGTTGGTGGTCTCGTGCCCAAGAGGAGGGTTGTACTTGGAGGAGGGTTGGCTCCTGCGCACAAGGGGCGATGATAAGGAGAGGGTGGCGGGTGACCCCTCGGTAGGCTGCTGGACAGAGTGGCCTGCATAGGTGGCCCCAGGTTTGTCCAGAAGGGCCCTGAACCAGAATGAGTCAGGCACTCTGTCCCTTCCTGTTTGATCTGTCCTCAGATGTAGCCCCTGGGGCCTCCACGGCCAATCTGGCAACAGAGAATCCTCATCCTAGCTCTGCCACTGCCAGCATCCACCGTGGGCCCACTGAAGGATGGGTGCTCAGGGGCACCCCAGCTCTTGCTTTAGCCAGCATCTGACCTTGGATGATAAGCAGGGTGGGCCCCATAGATACTTGGGAAAGACCAGCTGGGATACTGGGTTCTGAGGGCCTTTCCTAAGGCTGTAATAGAAAGCGCCTGGGCTTGGTTGTGAGTCTTGGCTTTGTTTTGGCTTCCATCTACTAACCTGTTGACTGTGGTGAACCCCTAACCTCTCTGAGCTCCTGCGACGGGAAGAACATTTACAGGACGAGAGTAGAGACAGCGTCTAGGAAAGGCCTGTGGGATAAAACATGGCTGCTGCTGGTGAGAATATGAAGGCTGTTAGCTGTTGTCTGTCCACATCCACTTTTGAAAATCACTGTCGTGAAATCAATAAATTCCTCCTGTTGCTAAGCCTGGAGCTGGCCACGTAGAGTCCCACGTGAGAAGGAGCTCTGCACTGCCGAGCTCTAGGAATGGGCCTCGGGGCACATACTGAAAGCTGGGCTTGCTCTGTCCACACTGTGGCCATGATGTGCCCTGTTTCCTGATCAGCAGTCACACCCGCCTCAGATTGGGCCCCCCTTTCGGCTACCCCGAAGGACCAGGATGTCGCCTGTTCCTTTGAGTACTCTCCCTCATCGCTGGTAACATTTCTGTGTCCCACACAGCAGCATTTGACGTCAGATCATGCCCATATGGCCTTCAAATGGGACTGCCATCCAGCCATGGTTACGCGTTGAGGGAACAAACGAGTGCAAGCCTGCTTGGGCTCAGGGCTCAGCTCACATGCCCAAGCTGCCCAGCTGGGGCCACTCCGTGGAGGACAGGTGTGGCAGTGTGCCATCCGCGTCTTCGTTTTTACCTTCGCTGTCTGTAAAGTGAGGAGACCAGCGTCCAGGCCCAGATCCACCCTTGCTTGGAGGGCGCGCCTGCCGAGGAGAGGGAGGATGGCTGCCTTTGCGCGTTGAAGCCGTGAAGGGTCCTGTCGGTTTCTTGGTTCTTAGCACCTTGGCAGTCAATTGAGTGCCTATTTCCCAAAGCCCAGTGTATTAGACACTAGAGCTGCTCATGCTTTAGGGACGCTTAGTCTTCCCCTGATTTTCACCAGCTTTTTTAGAAATCCCTCCACGTGAACATATGATCTCAGTACAGCTTCAGTGCAAGGCTGCCGGCCCCTCCTGCCCACTGGTCATCTCCCCAAGCCCCCTCCTGTGCAGAGAATCTAGAGCTGCTGCCGGTGGAACAGTTATCTCTCAGCAACGGAAGAGAAGCACCTGGCGTCCCCATACCTGGTTCTGGTTCTGCCGCAGTCCGGCTGCCCTCTTAGGGCGGGGTTCTTCCTCCACCGGGGAGCAGCTGCCTGGACTTCTCTCGGGTTATAGGCCTTGCTTGGAACAGACATGGACACAGGCTTGCCCTTTGGGTCAAGTACTTGGTCTGAACATTGAAGCATGGATGTTTCATGGAATGGATGAAAGCGAATGGATGCTCTGAGCAGTCTGGCTTTCCCTGTGCTTCTCAATTACGGCGTTCTTCTTCCAGCAGTCAAAGTTCTGGGAATGGCTTGCTTTGGGAGATGAAGAGTTTTCATTTTAGAGGGATTTAGCCATCACCCCAGTCTGCTTCTGCTGCTTCCTGTTATCAAATAGCAAAAAAACCACACCCAAAACGAAGAAACAAAAACCCCGAAAAACGAAAACCCTGACTTTGCAGGCATGTGTCGCTCTCTGCCCCTTGCCCCCACTCCCAGACTCTTCCACTGATCTGAGCACGTCAGTGAGAGTCACAGGGTTCCAAGCACTATGCCACATTCTTGGCTCCCAACAGGCCATAAGCAAGTGAACTCAGAAGTTTGGGCAGCCGGAGTATTGGCTTCCCAGGGACCTGCTTGCCTGTTTCACTTCTCTGTAAAGTAGGTGGGGCTGGGCAGGAGGGGGTTTCCACATGCCAGCCCCGGGGACCCTGACCTGGATTTCGCGTGCTGTAGAGCACAGGTTTTAAGCCCTGGAGCGAGGCAGTTCTGCCCCCTGTTCAGCAGCTTCGCACGACCCGCCGCTCTCAGAAGGAGGTGTTCTCTAGCACCTGCCTCCCTCCCCTCCTGCAGGAACCTGGAGGCTTGCTGCCTGCT